CAAACAGCTGCCTCTTCGCATAGTTCATCGAACTATGTCAGTGGCCACGGGTATCTCGAGCAACTCATCGTTCCAAAGTATTCGGAATAGCATAAACGTGGTCGATGCTACATTTGGCGTGACGGGAGGGTTCGTTGGATTTATCGGCTGTGGATGCAGTATCCTTACTCGACTACATTATCTGACACCATTGAAGAAGACTATACATTCTCTGTTAGCTACAAAGTCACCCTCTCGCTCAAAGTAACTGCAGCCTACCCTTTTATAGATTGGACAGGGCACCCTTGGATTTCTATCGTCGGGCGTGCTTTCATTCAACCATTTTCGCCCCAGTATTTGAATGACTATGCCGGTAAGCCGTTTGTTGTTCTCCAGGCGCGCAACTCCTATACAGACATCTTCATAATATGATAATGGAAGATCTCTTATATCGATATTGTATTCACTATATCCTAGGGTTTCGCTTTCAATGCAATGTCCATCAGTTGTTGGAACATCTCTATATGAGTATGCTCCGGTTTTGAAATCTTCTCTAAGTCCCCTCTTTTCAATTTTCGATCTTTACCACTGTTGTCCAGTTTTCGAGCTCTGCACACACGTGTTTCAAATTTTCTTTTTTTCTGTCTCTGCACAGTCGAAATGGTTTCAAAGGACAGGAGTGCAACTCATGTAGAAAAGCGTTCGGCTGCTTTCTAGTTTTAACTTATCGATGTAGAAACTGCTGTTTGTTGTCGGGTTGGGGGTCGTGGGGCGACCGCACTTAAAATTTAGTTGTTTGGTCCCATGGCTCTCAGCATAGTAGCACGCTCAGCCATGATACAGTAATTTAAAGGTAGTTTCAATCTCTCTTCGCAGACGGCTTCATACAGGGTGCTCCATCTCTTATGTCGGTATGTAAACGCTGAATAACTTTCACATTTACCAACCGAGCGATTGCCTCAAATATGTTTTGGAAACGTTAATTCAGTACAATTTTTGCCATGGATCGCTTCCCACTCAAACAACGCGTTGAAATAGTGGCACTTTACACCGAAAATAGTCGTTCCATTGTGTAAACTCAACGTGCATATCGAAAAAAATATCGTGCCAAAAAGGCATCTTCTTCTGTGGAGTTATGTGCATAGCAAAAGGTTTTACGCCAACAATCCTTTGAGAAAAATCTATCATTTTTAAATGAAAAAAATATGTGGAGAGTTTTAAAACATTATGAATTTTTAAATGTTCAAAAATTCCGTATTATTTTGCTTATTGCAATCCCTTATTGTGAACCATTTCGTGTGCCTTGTAAAGGCAACGAGATTTCCAATGTTCGAGACAGTCGGAGAAGTGTTTCCGAAGAGACTTTTGTCACCCGGATGGCAATTCTGGACAGTGGCAGAGGTAGTGCTCGATGGCCTCTTACTCTTCTTTGTCCTTACAGCCGCGGTATAAATCGTTAGAGTAAAGCCTATCCTATTCCCGTGAAGCCCCATTAAACAGTGTCCAGTTTTTATACCAGACGTTATGTTAATGGAGAATCGGTTCAGAAGGATAAGAAGTTTAGATGTTTTCGCGTCGTGATCTCGTTTAACCATCGTGTGTCAGCTTCCCTGGTGAAGGTCAGTTTCATGTGCGCGTTTTATCGTAGATAGAAGAGTTTCTTGCCTCGTCAGTTCGTCTGCCATGCAATTGCCTGAGATATCCTTGAGTCCAGGCACCCAGACCACGGCAGTACTGTACTTCCTTGAGAGTGTTAAGTCTCATAGTTTTAGAGCCGTGCAGTTTCATTATGAAAACCTCATAAATACGCTAAAAGTCGTTTAAGTCGATTAAATTTCCAAACACTTTTGAATATTATAGTCAATTAGTTAGGTTAACAGGAGCTAGTGGTGGCACCTACGTTGGTTCTGCAAGAAAGATTCCTCTCACTTTTCCAGATGATCAAACCTGCACCATTAGGAGATTAATGATGCTTGTATCTCAACTCTTCTCAGCAATCCAAGAAGAAATTTCAGAGAAATCGATAACGGAAAGCACTTAGAGCTGGACAGTGGCGAAAAAGTTGTTTGAGAAACAGCCTTCTACCATGAGTCCTCACAAAACAGTGTCTGTGAAGAACGGCTTGAAACAAATACATGGCATGTGCTTAGAAGATACCTCCAAAAATAATGAAAAAATCTTAAAGTGTAGTTGTAGATTTTTTAAGTGGTGAGATCAAACATTTCTGAGCAAACACGTTTAGTGTCAAAAATTTCGAAGTGAAACTACAATACCTTATAGATTTTTGTACCGTGCGCACTGCTACCTTCTTCTGCCTCGATTGTATTTCTATAACGGTGATTCGAGATACGGCCGGTGTGGCTATTGTCGGTAGCAAAGATCATTCATCGGCAGAAATTTAACGACGAATGCAACCCTTTTCAACTACATGGTGGTGGTGGTTTAGGGAGGATAATTACCTCTAAGACAGTGAGTAGGGAATTGTATAGAATTTTTTATCCAGCACTAGGTTCGTATCAAAAGTTGGGTATTCATTTGATAATTGATAACTGAATATCTCAGTTGCTTCCACAAAGCTGTATTCACTGCCCAAACTCCGATAAATGCCCAAAATGTCAATATGAATTGGCTGAAAATGGACAAGAGACCTGGAAAAAATTAGGCATAACATCCAAAAATTTGACAACAACAAACCTTGAATAAGTAATTTTTTTTAAGATATCGAACAAAAAGGACCATACACAGTGTGTCCTAAAAATAACGGAACTTTATATTTAAATCATACAACATACAGCGCCATCTATTGAAAATTTGCAATATACAGAGATACATTCATCCTCTTTCAAATGCACAGATGTAAAGTTGACAGCCATGGTTCAAAAATAAAATGGAACAAAGAGCAATAATAAAATTTTATGACAAACTTGAAAAAAAATTTTTGAAAAAAGTTTATTGTGATGATTGTATGAGTCGTACGCAAGTTTATACGTGATTTACACGATTTAAAAATGGTCGTGAGGATTTAAATGACGACCCTAGAGCAGGACGTCCAGAAGTTAGTAATCGTGCTGAGCTGGTGGAAAAAGTCCGTGAAATCATTGGTATCGATGCAAGTTTTACTACGATAATGCTGGCTGAGGAATTGAATACGAGTAAAAACACTATTTGGAGAGTTTTAACTGAAGATTTGGGGAAAAGAATGGTCTGTGCGCGATTTGTTCCACATGAATTAAATGACGACCAAAAAATCGCTCGAATTTTTAATGAAAAAAGGGATTTTTCTCATCGACCATCCTCTGTATTCGCCTGATCTATCGCCTTGTGACTATTTTTTACTTCCAAAATTGAAAACCAAGATGAATGGAACATTTTATGATGATATCCCAGCCATTCAAGCAGCCGTAACCGAGGTACTGAAGAACATTTCTATGAATGACATAAAAAATCTATGCATGCGCTGGTTAATCGTTCCAAACGTTGTGTTGAGTCAAATGGAACCTATTTTGAATAAATAATAACTTTCAAAGATAATATAATGTGTATTTTATTTTATATCTAAAAAGTTCGGTTATTTTTGGGACACACCGTGTAAGTCAGCCCTGGTCCACTTCCCGAGAGAATAATAGTATTATATCACAGCATCATAAATCCAAGCAAAAAGCCGCCAATGCACCGAATTTCAAGTAAATCTAAAGATAAATAAAATTATTTCAGTCAGGTCAGTTCCTGGTCCACTTGCCGAATTGGTTTTCTTTGTTAACCACAGAAACAATCTGACGAAACTTCAAGTCAATCAGACGTTAGTTTTTTACGTATAAGATTTACCCACAGATGATGCACATATCTGAAGAAACATTGTAAGAATTCTCGAACAAAGCCACACGTGTTGGCATACGTGAAATCGAGCGCAGTTTCGTTGAATGCAAAATAACACCGAATAAATCAATCACTGAGAGTTTATCTTAATTGCATTCTAATATGATGGTAAACATTTAAAAACATTTATAAACTGCTAATTAATTGACTCACGTGTATATATGTATGTATATCTATCATTGTGAAATTCTTATTTACATTAATATATTAATGCTTAGAAATTTCCATAGAAATTTATTTCATTTGCAGGCACCGACAAATACAACTTTATTATATGTTAGACCAGAAGTCAAGGCACGTTTATATACAAAATAAAAAGAAAAAATTTTCAGTACAGTGTGGCAAAATAAAGTGCAGTGTAGTTAAAATGCATGGGAACATGGGAACATGTTAAGAAAGTACCACTCGAAGTAATGACGACTCATATGGAATTATCAAATTTGAGCTCTCTTCCTATCTGAAGCGAAAAAATTATGTTTTTGAATTACGAGGTAGAAAGAAGTATGCAAAAAACACCACAAATGTTCTAAAATAGAAAATATGGAACCTTCAATTGACGTCTAGAAAGTGAAAGATCAAAAAACCAATAAAAAATGTTGGTATCAAAATCACTGGGTCAAATGATTTCGAGTTATTTATTAAATGAAGATGGATATTTGAGGCTCATGAAACCCAAATGTGGACACCCAGTGGCCATTCAGACCACCTTCCGAAAGAAAGTTAGTGCAAGAAGAAAAATTTCGCTATCCGTTCCTGGACTGAACTACGCTTCAATACCGGAATTTTCCAGATCTAAAATTATCCTGAGTTAACTGATCAGTAACTGGTTTTTATTTACAGCTCATTTTATCACTCTGGTGCCCATTAAAAAATTAAATCCTATGCGCCGAGCATTTAATTAAAATGCTAAATAAAAACTCATGCATAAATCAAAATAACAGTTAAATAAATTTTATTCCACATTCAATAGGCGCCCACTACTGAGAAATTATTCAAATGATTTCTGTTGCACTTTAAGATATAAACATCTATACTTAGTTATGTACATACTCGTACATATGTACATGCATACATATTTAAGAGGGAAGAACCGCCTGCCACTCGTTTGTACTTCCAATACCCGTTTTAAATGCGTTTTACCGAGCGAGTGGCGACCAACTTAGTCTGAATCAAGCAAAGCAAGAACGATTAGAGAATCATTTCAAGTTCACAAGTATAAAAAGCGATCATAAACGGTTGGTTAATCATTGCAATCGCAACTCTTGCAACATGAATTTCCAACTGCTCATCGGCTTTGTGCTGGCCTTACTCGCTGTGGCTTTCGGTAAATACTAATTCATATACAGAAATGGCTGATTTTCTAAATAATATTCCTTCCATATATTAAATTGCATTTTCACTTTTCTTTCCTTTTGTTTCAGCCAATCCCAATCCTTTGCCAAATCCTGAACCGTATCCAGGAGGCGGTGGTGGTGGCGGCGGCGGCGGTGGCGGCGGTGGTGGTGGCGGTGGCGGTGGCAAGTAAATTTCAAAACACCGCTTACGATAACGAATTGTTAAGGATCTAGACTAACTGTAAATATGTACATAAATGATAAATAAATGTGAATCAAGTGGTCCAGCCTGAGTTCACCAACAATGGAAACAACTCAATTTTATTATAAATTTGAGTAAGCTAAGGCTTTTAGAACAAGGGAATCTCAGTGGTATTAGCATGTTTTGCGAGGGAGTGAAGAAATCTGCATTAAATGCTTCTTATTACAGCAATTTTTCAATCTCCCAGGGAATCTTTGCCTTTCAGCAATTAGCACCGGACGTTAGCACGGAATAGTTTGGGATTGGTCTTCGAAAATCGAAATGAAGATACTTTTTGATCACATTGTAAAGAAATTATCAGGTTTTAGACTTACCGTTAAAGAAAGTATGGTATCGTTAAAAGATGCTACGCCAGTCACGTCTTTCTTCGAAGTTAAGAAACCCACACAAAACAGATTACAGCTGATAATTTACCACTTATATACCCGATAAAGGATTTATTTGCGAATTTCTTGTTGACACTCATACAGGTCATGGGTCTATTGTCTATTTTGAGTCTTGGCTTAGCTGACCATCTAAATATTGCTCAATCACCTGCGGAACATTACGATTAGGCCCTAATGTTGACGTTGTGTTACTTATTCTGTAAGAGGAATTTCCAATTGGATCAAGCCTGGGTATACAAAAGCTACTTTCGTCTTTCAGAGACCATAAAACTCCCAGAGTTATATTCTGGACTAATTCAGACGAGATGACTTAGCCAGTGTATTTTGATTCGCTGAAATCTGTAAACTTATATTAGCTCAACCAGCCATCTAGCAGACCTCCCAACCATGGCGCATTCATAGCATAGGTTGCAACATCCTAGGAGCTATGTTTTTGGATGGTTGAGCTATGTCTTACACTGCTCATAGCTCCATGACATTCCTCATCGTCCATACACAAACGGCTTTAATCTTACGCAAAATCTTTCCCTCGAAGAATCCTAAAGCCTATTTTTCGGATGCCGCCAGTGACCACTCGTCTGCAACATCCATTAGAATGGGAATATTGAGCGGCCGCGGTAGCGTTCTGCCATTCGGAAGGAGTGTACTTGTGACATGAAAATCAAAAGCTTCTCATAAAAACCATTAGCCGTTCGGATGCGGCTTAGTATAAACTGTAGGTCACTCCATTTGTTGGAAAAACATCAAGACGCAAAACCAAAAATTGGTGTAGTGCTTGATCTTTGTACGCTGAGAGCGGATTTTATTTTTCAATTGCCTACTCAGTCCAAAGCACCAGTTGACTTTGCCTTGGATTTCCAGGCTGACGTTGTTACTGGAGTTTATATCGGTTCTTAAATAAACGAAATTGTCTGCGCATGACTGTAATTAAACTTGTTCCTTTATCCAGTCTAGAGAAAACAGAACTAATGGCCCTGTAGATCACAGACCAGCATTGAAAAATCGCAGATAAAGAGCCAACCTGTCGAAAACTTAGGTTAATTTCAAGCGACTCGGAGAGGTTCTTCCTGATCTGTATGCTGTATAACACCGGTTTGCACTTACATACAGGGAACTACCAAATTCCGACAGAGCGACGTAAAGGCAGCTCCTATTCGTGCTATCGAGAGTATGAATGTTCTTTTCAAGGGATTTTTCCAAGATTGGGCGAATGGTGAATATCTGGTCAATATAAGATTTTATAGGGAGTGTTCAATATGTTTCTTAAAGTGTTAAGAGGCTTGTCTATATACGGATCAACCCATGGCCTAAACCACTGAACGTAGAGACCTGAAATTTGAGGTATGTTTTTTGCGTATGACGTAAGCACCGGATAAGAAAAAAATTTCCGGCAAGTGGACCTGGAACAGATCTGTTTGAAGTTTGGAATCGAGGTTATCTTATAAGCGTTTGAGTTACATTACATTTGGTTAACCACAGGGACAACGGGACAGATTTATTCGAAAAACTGGTATTTATCTTTTTAATTACAGAAAACTACAGTACAGAAGTAACTTTCAGTCAAGATAACTATAGCGACAGTTGTGATATCAATTCTTATCTGCATTTTCGAATTCCATACAGACAAAGTCGCGGCTTAACTTTAGTCCCAAGACAATTGGCGGCGGCTGTGACATCTCTCTCCCACAGTCGGGCATGCTTTTGTCCGAGCGTGTTCGTCAAAGAAACTGATGCTCTTCACCGCCCTAATTGAAAAGTTCAGCCGACAAGCCATCGGTTTCCGCCGCTTTGTTGTTCTTCGTAGGACTATCTCGAATAGCTCTCTTACAAACGATTTGTTCAGATATGAGAATTAGTATTTAATTCTTAAATGAAATACACTTCGGCATGGTCGAAAACAGCTCTTCCTTGTATTTCTGTCTGCAAAAGCATATTGCTTCTCACTTCGACTATCGGCATATCGTTCTCACTACAGGCGTGAAACGAAATTAAGAAGGAGTAAAATGATTTTACTGGAGAAAACAGATATTTGGATAATCACACACATGCATACATATATATTTACCGTATTTGTTTATATTTTTCAATTCTTGTGTTATGTATTATACAAAATATAATTTTCGAGATATTTATTTTTCATTTATCCAAAGTAATGCAACAACAACAACAATTCAATTTTGTATCTTAATAAAAATTACAACATCAATTTAGAGCAACGAAATAAGAGCAAAAAAAATTAATATTAAATTATTAAGTGTTTATTTGCATCACTAGGTACATACACGTATTATATGTATGTATGTATGTATGTACGAGTACGTTAATAGCCAGCAACCTTACAGGCGTGCAAGGTGCACTGGCTGGTGAATAGCGCTTGTGCGAATACAACCAAAGGTCAACCGCTTTCGACTGAGCAACTCACACCTCTCATAATTGCAATCCGCTAGAAATTTCCTCTTCACTTAACAATTGCATTAAGTAGTCCAATCAAAGCAGCTGGAGCGCATGGATGCGTTGATTCAGAAACAAACAGACAATTCCATTATTAATAATTTCTTTATTAATACTCGCAAGCAAAATGTGTAAAGAATGCAGTATTGGGGTTTCGTGCTGATAGAATTCGATGATACAAATGTTCGGCACAACCATGGAGTCGCTGGAACTGCTGCAGGCCATTATGGAGTACAGCGCTTGCATGTCTCAACTGCTGGATATGATGGAAGAGCAACAATTGGAGGATTATTTAAAGTTCATTAAATATATTTTAATGTAGCAGGCGAAGAGAAAAAGTGTTTTCAATAAAGTATAGTTTGTAAAAGAAATTAAGAATTAAATAATTATATTTTGATGTACACAAATTCTGTTGCCGCAGCAATTTCCATAATTAAATATCCGTGACACCGTCTTCCTTCAACTCAAGCAGTATACACTTGGCCGCTAGGAAAGCACGTTCGCAGCTAAAAAAAAAAAAGAGAAAAAAGTGTAAGAAATTTCTTTGTTATTTTATTTGCAGCTTATTGTTGTACTTATCAGTTTGTTTTTCAGTTTCCTCTGAGCATTTCCTAATCACAGACAACAACTTCTCTCTCTCAATTTGCGGATGTATTATTTGAAATATTTGAATGATTTTCTCTTCATCAACAGAGTTCAGCTCATTTAGCTGAAAATAAGAGAAAAATAGGTAAGAGCGCGAACAAGTGAGGCAAATGGAGACTTTAAGGACTCCTTTTTATTAAAGAAATGTATTTACTGAATTAATAAGGCAGTTTGGCCCTAATCAGAGTATTCTCTATCACCTGTTAGGAAATGAGTTTACTGAATCTTTGTAGAAATTTTTATCTAAACACAATAATTACGTGATACTTTAGTATAGAATGCGAGTTAGATGTGGACATGGTCGCCATTACTCTCTGTGCAGGTGGAGAGGCAGGATGTCAATTTTTTATGCATTCCTCGAAGTAGTTTCCCGCCAACCTGCTATTCGCGTTAAGAAATTTTAAATGGAATGCGAATAAGAATCTCCATTTTACGACTAATTAAACTGTCAACACTACATGTATGTACCGATTTATGTATAATCATATATATGCATGTCAGTAAAGAAGATACGACCGCAAGGGACGAGTAGTTAGTAGTGCGTACTACTATTCGGAAGGACAGAGTTCGAGTTCTGCTCCGACCAGCATTCAAAAATATAGAAATAAATTTTTGCCGTCGTCCTTAGGCCGCAAATGCCAAGCCTCTAGTTTATTTCTGATAATAAATCAAAGTTCCTTGTAGGATGGTGAGTTATCGTGGTTCAAAATAGTGAGTTTCCTTTGCACAAGTCTGGCATTTTTCGACCAATGTTTTTGAATATGTGATCGGCATTGACTGGTTTTTGAACGATAACTGCAATTGAATGGCAAAGTTGAGATCTGATGAGAGATACCGCCTGGTACCTCTTTGGAGAATTTAGATAAATGGTAGGTCATCCTCCGTTTGCATTTTGAACCAACACATGTTTCAGCTTTAGCATTCTCCATCCTATGTGTCAAATAGTCCGTACAACATTTCTCGCACGATTTGCGCAAGTTTTGCCTAAAACCATCTCTGTGAAAGCTCAAATAGTCCAGTTGGTACAAGAACTGAAGCTTCATGCCATACAGTGCGCTTTTGCTTTGCACAATGGTCTGAAGATCTTTTTTTCCGAAAAATTAATTCTCAACAAGAGGCTATTTAAGCTGTCAGTGCTGCTTCCTTCTATATAACGTGAATTTGTGGAGAGAGCTTTACGAAGACCACCACGGCCAACAGATGTGATTTTTCAGGCGATCTCTTCCTCCGACTTGTTTCAATCGTCGTGATATTTTTTCACCAAATGGAGGCACTTGACGTAGCTTTTATTTCATGTCAGAAATACACTCGGAGGGTTGGTATTCGCCGCCGAGCGTCTTAATTTTTTTTTTTTTTTTTGAGAAAATTATTGATTTTACACCATACCAGATACACTACATACATACGACCACAGCTGCACTGCTGCATTCTTTGATGTGTCTCTAGTTTGCCCTGTTCTGTGGCCCAAAATCTTCTCAAAGTATTTTCGCTTGACGGAATAAGATTACTTCTTGTGTGTGATTCCCCTCTCCGAAGGGGATACTCTAGACTAATATCCTGATCTAACAGGACACTATCTGTTACCAGTTCTGCACTTGCGGCCATGTATTCAGTAAATATAAATCCTTCTTTTCTCAGACATTATTTTCATCGCGTTTTTACAATTCAACCATAATGGTCTTCGTACTATATGAAAGCCCTTGGCTGTCTACATAAATATGTAAACTGTTTCCTTAATAGCCTCCCTGCAGTAGTTCTGCCGCCATTTTATAGCAAATATTTCGGCTTGAATAATACTGCAATAATTTAACAGCTTGAAAGACCTTCTTATATCCAATTAGACTGCGTAAGCTAAAGCCCGCACTCCGCTGTCCATTTTAGAATCATTTGTAGAAATTTGCAGAGCTTTGTTTGCAAACCTTAGTCCTTTACTTCAGCCATTCGTCTTTTGGAAGATGGCAGCAGCTGCCCAAAGGTAAGATGTGGGATCAACTAGTCCATTCACAATACTGCTGAGTTGTCAAGACCCTCATAAAAATCCATCGTCTGTTTGGAGGCGGCTTAAAATAAACTGTAGGTCGCTCCAGTTTTTGGAAAAACATCAAGATGTCCACCACAATTTGAAGGAGGAGCACGGCCGAAAAGCGTTTCCGCGGTTACAAAGTGTCAATTATTATTTATTATTTAGAGGTATGAACGACACCAGAAATCTTAGAAATATCTCAATCGAACTCACTTAGATTTTACTTTATATACCGTTCATTTCAAAAAGCAAACTCACCAAACCATTTTTACGCATAATGCAGTAACGTAAGCACTTAGCATTGCGACTTAAGTTATCCCGAGAACCCTTCAGCAGCTCGTCGAAGCCCTCTGTAAAATATCCGTGGTTAAAAAATATACAAACTCAATATTGGAATCCAAGTCTGTATGTCATACCATCAGTTATTTCCACTTTGACGCTACGTGCCGCATCCTCATAGCAATCCCCAATGGCATCCTCAGCCATAAGACGTAGCGAACTATAGTGTGGCGGCTTAGAGTCAGCGACAACCAAAGTCATTTCTATAGTTTTTATAGTTAGTGGAGTTGGCAGAACCAAATGAAATACATATATTCAAGTAAATCTTTATGGATATAAAAAGAACTCACTGGAGCCTGTAATAATTATGGCGAAAATAAAAAAAAATTTCGGGATTTCCATGATGCACCGCGGTCTCGGGCGAGTGCTATGAATGACAATTGAAATTCAACTGAAAATCTTTGCTTATTTCATTCATCATTGAAGCGGTGAAATAGTCCATTCGGTAGGTCATTTTTATATACTAGAAATACATGGGAAAATTTCACACGGACAAGTGATTGTTCGACTTTTGATATTCAAATGAGTAGTGAGAAAAAAATATTCATTCAATGGAGGCTAAATTATTGATCTCATGACAAAGACAGTCTGCTAAACTTAGAAAGCTCGAACTAATTAAAATTTTCATTGAAGATTGGGCCGAGGTGAATTAAGCTGAATCTATGCCTCTTCTTTTTAGAATAATAGGAATAACGAAACATAATCTTGACGAACTTACAGGACTTTAGCTAATCCATGCCGCTTTGTTGCGTTTTCTAGACTTCTCCGTAATTACAATTTACAGAGTGTTTAGTATTTTCCGTATTACTTGTATTGGTTGGGTCGTAAGACGGATAACATTTTTGGATATCTCATGAACTATTTCGTTCCCGACAATGCATTTTCAGTCTGGAGCCCAGGAGATATATCTGCTTCTAAAGACAATTTCTGACGTCATACAATGTGAAATTATGTATATTGATACTTTTCATGCGGATTCCAGCATCGTTAGCTAGCTCAGCTGCTTTTCTTATAGAGAAACATACCGTCTGGCAAATACGGTAATAATTCGGTAATCTGATGGCTGGCCTTAAGTTGACTCAGCGCAATAGGTTCCGACGCCCACTCTTTGAATCATTCTTTCTCCGCCCTTGAAGATATTGCAATTTCCCCCAGCGGGCACCACTGAAGGTCCTTGCAGAAAACTTAAAACCGCCAATATCGTTAAATTGCTTTCCACTGAAATGTCGAATGTTGGTAGATTCAATAACCTTTCGAGTGCAGCCGGAGAGTGTATCGAGCAACTTTATCCACAATCCTGTCAGCATCACCACCCCAAATCTCCATGGAGTAAGAACGAATGAGAAGTTCATCACGTCTGTTTCAAGAAACCCAGCGCATTTTAGCATTAGTAACCCCCGAAAATAACAGATTTCGAGCTAGAGAATTTTTTAGAAACGACTCGTTCTGCTTAGTACTTGGTTTCAATGCTTCAATTCTGCTTCTCCTAACTTGTCTTAAGACAATCAAAACAAAGCCTTTAGTATTTCGAAGCTACATGCTTATATTTTGCCTAAAAATTACTAGAATTTGCATTAATAAAACAGAGCGTACAGAGAAACAGCCGGACTTGCAGATTAATTACTAAAATATAAAGAAGGTAAATACATATGTATGTATGTATGTATGTATAATTCAAAAGCCAGAGTCGTCTTCAAGAATGTTCGTATTAGTTCCTGCTCCAAATTTAAACACGCGCCATAGTAAATCCATTCTCTGCAGCCTTAGTGTGCATGCAGACACGATAATCTTCAGCAGCCTCGCAACTGTATAAAAATAACACAAAATAAAAAGAATCGTATCACTGCCCGACCCTCCCAGATGGCGTCTGTTCATCACTTACTGATCCTCATCAACGTCTATGTCCACGCACGTTTCTAAAACCTCCAAACCCAAGCTCTCTTGTTCTTCATTGCCGCTGGCGATAATTTTCAAAATATCCGTAGCCTTCTCCTTATCCATTTTGCCATCGTCATTCATCTGAGATAAATAGAAAATCGCATTTTTTCAAAGAAGTTAGACTCATATTTGAGAGTGAAGATTTTGAAAGAACTCACCAAACCAAATCTTTTCATAACACATGCGTGCAGGCATTTCGCCTCCGCGCTGCCAGCTGGCTCATGCTTAAACATCGTTTCAACGTCCTCTGAAAATTTTTGGATATTCTACGGTAAAATATATTGTATATAAAAATTCTTATTACAAACTCCCATTACCATCCGTTGCACCAACTTCGTCCTTACATTCCTGAGCCGTAAGTTTAACCCCCTCAAAGTCGTCACACTAAACGAAAAAAAAGACTCATTAGACATTTCAAGCCACAGTGAGTTATAGATAACAGAGCTCATAATGTCATAAATCAAAAATATCAGAATAGCCTCTTGATTATTAGTTAAATGTTCTTCGCACAGTAAGGTAAACTAACTTATATACATCAAGCGCTTTTCGTTGCGTGAGCCTTGAGTTCTACAGTTTATTCTAAACTGTTTCCGGACTGCTGATAGATTTTTATAAAAATATTTTATTTCTTATCAGAAGGCCTTGATATTCTCTGCCACAATCTAAACTTCGGATTATGGTCTGTTCGCCCCGTTAACCACTGGGCTATTGCGGCTCATATACTTCTAAGAAGTGTTCTTCGAAGAAAGATACCTCAAACCACTTAGTGCGTTTTACGAAGCCCATAGGATTGCCAAAAAGAGACAAGAAATTCGGGGAATTTCGCAGTTTATTATGATTAGGATGGTTGGTTTTCTCTCCAGTTTTTCAAGAACTCCTGAATATCCTTATGTGTGGGGATGCGGTTTATTAAAGCCACAGGCACGGAGCACCGAATACAGCTTCAATTAGTCTTTAACTTTCGATGTACATTGAGGCATTATTTTGCAGAAATAATTAAAAGTGCTCCAGTAATTCTTTCTTCTCGATGTTTGGCGCCAATTAAAGCTACCGAGTACAGTCAGGTCCTCTCTACCTGGTCTTTCCAACGGAGTGAAGGTTTTTCACTTCTGTTCACTGTTCAATGGACTTTTCTAAAATTTGGCGCATAATGAATATCTGGTCAATGGTTGATTTACCAGGCCTGAAGCTACTCTGATAATGTAAAATTAGGTTTTTGACGATTGACTTCCCACGGTAGTGGTCACAAAAAGTGGAATCTCCTTTGGTGTCAATTCGACAGATCCTACTTAAATTCCCATCGTCATGCATGCTTTCGTCCGATCATATTCTGCAAAGTAGCTGATGCATGCACCTTGTCAGCTCTTCACCGCCATGTTTGAATAGCTCTGCCGATAGACCTTCAGGTCCAGCCGCTTTATTTTTCTTTAAGCGGGAAATCGCTATTCTAACCTCATTAAATCGGGTAATAGAACATCTTTTCTATAGTTATCGATTGGGATTTCAGGTTCACCATATCCGGGTTTCCATTTTTACTGCTATACAGCAGGCTGGAGAAGGGTTCGCCCCCAAATATTCGCTGTACTCTGGGCATCAGTTGCCAGATCACCTTTTTAAGTACTGCAATACCCTGCTCCGGTCTTGAAACATTCTGTACGATTCCGTATTTTTTTTTTCAAAACAATGTAGTCACTTTAACAGCGAAAGTCTTACATGTCTAAATCCTGCCCCAGATAAGACCAGATAGAAACAGATGTCCGTAGAGATGCCAGTATGTTGTGGCCTGTCATTAGCTCTACAACTGTCTTGTAGTTATTAGAAGGTGAACGTGCTTTCATTTGACTTTGATTTTTATTACACATGATCTTGGTGATCTCTCAGACCCTAACGGCATTCCATCTCACCCCGTTCCGCTCTCTTGAAAATTCCATTGAACTCGGTTTTTAGCATTGTTCGTTGCAATTCAGCGGTTACTCTTGGACAAACTTTCAAAACTAGATCGTTTGCATGCATATAGACTATGCACATGCTACATATATGTATGTCACATAAAAATCATAGCTACTGCTCTTAATGAACTGATCTAAACAGTGAAATTGATCCATCTAACGCGGTAAAACATACACAAATCCGTTCGAAAAGTTTCCAGCCGCTTCAGCGACTGTTTTTGCAATTCACAATAGGAGGTAAGCGAAGGGTCTGATGGAAGAGAGCTTTGATTTAAAATTTAATACTCCCATTAATTACACTTTTAATTTCAACTTTTTCGTTCCACATTTCGAAGTGATGATTCAAAATTACCAGAGGTAAAATTGATCTCTAGTATGAATATACGAGAAGTCTTGAAAAGGGCTCCCAAGAGAATTTGTTTGTAAACAGGACTCGTCTTTGTTTTCTAGCTACTTTATGATCCAGAAGACTAAGTAGTAAAGTTTTCAACTTTGTTCTAGAAAGACGATGATTTCCTAACAACAAATTCATTCACTCTTTTTTCACTTCACTTGCAATGATCTTTACGAAAACTTGGTTTTATTTTAAACCTCACAATTACCTTAGTATTTGCTATGAGTGCTGCACACACAATCAAACAAATATTGAGGAACTTCATTTTCGCAATTCTCAAAAGCTGTGCTGCTCGTAACTAACTTCAATCGCCCGAACTTGTTGCCACTAAAAAGTATATTAACTTCTTCGGCTAAGTTGATGTTCCTTTATATGTTGAAATCATGTGATTGAATAATTAAAAATCTTAAAATTAAAGTTGCGTGCAAATCAAAATTATTTTTTTTTTACAAATATACCTACATATGAATGTGTGTGTTTATGAACACCTCGACGCATTTAAAGTTCACACATGCACGCGTACATGCATACATACATACAGATGTATTTGAACAATTAAAGTGACATCTACTTTGCGAATTGATTGCTCCAATCATTGGAGTCTAACAAAGTAACAAAAAATTTGAATTTCACACGATATAAATGGCAATCGATGAATGCATGAAGACAATTGAAAACTTAGTGTTGAGAACTCCCTGTAATCGTTATATGCGATTGATTAGATTTTTAGGTTGGGAATTTGTAAAATTAGGTATCCTCCATTCGCATGTAAATATGTTTATGAACACTCGTTATAAGTAATTAGTGATAAGTGTTTTTATAAATTATTGATGTTTACATGTACTTGAGGTTGAGTTGAGGTCTGTTGATCGTAAAGTGCTCGTATGAATCATTCAAAGTGGGAGAATCTGGGGCTATGACGTGTTTAAATAAATGTTACATATGCATACATATATGTCGACGTATTACGACGCTTCGCCTGAATGTCAAGCTTATACGAAGTTAAGTGGGGCAGCAACCCGAAGGACCACGCGTGAGTTAGAAGCGCGTCTAGAGCTTTAAGTTTAAGTTTAAGCGTCTTTAAGTTAAAAGAATACTTATTTATATGTGGCACCTGACAAACTATACTTGCCTGGGTCTGTGCCAATGCTTTCGACACTAGGTATTGAGAACACGTTTACCGCCTTAGGCGGAATCGTGACAGCGTTCGCATTGGGTTAATGCCTTCAATGTGTATCATTAGAGATTTCTTTAATTTATTTTCTTTAAATTTAAGATATAATATTTTTGTGATCTCTATGATTTTCCGTAAAACTCCGTTAGGCTCAGCTGATTGTTCGTTGTTGCCACTATTTACTTTTAAATTAACCATGAAAATGCAATTTTTTCTAAAGAAATTAATTAATTACTTATTACCACATACATATTACGTTTACCGGTAATTTCTGTCCGAATCTATGTCTTCATCTTCGCCACGTAAACACATTTTAATTTATTGCATGTTATTGCATGGCTGTATATTTTTATCGCTTAACGTATACATACTCACGTAGCAAATAAACTATAATAAAGTAGATTCATATTAGTCTTAGTAGGAATTTATTGAAAGTATTTGGGTGAAGGTAAAGTTTCTGATAGGGCATGCCGAATTATAAACAGGTGATCTCGATCTTTCTGATAAGCCACGTTTGATCAAGATCCTTTTCTGACAACATCGGATCGGAGATCGCAAAAAGGCTTAATTCAGATCATCAAACCATTTCTGACCATTTTCGGAAGATAAGATTGGTGTGGAAGTATTCAAGTACTTTGTTTTATTCCAAAACGACGGAACTTTCCGGTAGACCTGATATGTACATATGTATATGGATCATGTATTTATATTTGATTGGCGTTCAGATTCGATCGCTTAAATTATTAAATTTGCTGATGAAATTATAAATTTGTTTAAAAGTATGCCCTGCACTAGCACCTGTCAACATTTCGTCGCTAACTTGGGACTACATCTCTCTTTCGGTCGGGTAGTAAAGACGGAAGGTAGGTCTCAAATTATTAAACGCCGGTACCTACCCATTTAATGTTGATAAGGTCCAAGCGAATGGCGAATATGCCGAGATGCAGTAAGCAGTGTCGAGTCTCAAATAGAAACTTTCGCCTTAAGAATTCACTAAGCAACAATGAGTCACATTGGTCTCACGTAAAAGTATCAAGTTTCGGATCAGCTATTTAGCAGGTCACAAGTATCAAACCAAATGATTTATTTGCTGCGTTGACGTAATTATCGTATAAAACAAAACAATGGAAGAGCAACTTTCAGCTTTTTTTACTAATTTTGCTTGAAATCGTTCGCGGTAATATTTTCTTATGTCGAAAAATTGCAGTAAATAAGGAAATAAACCATTAATTTCATTAGAAACATCCCTAGACACAATTTGGCCAGCCTTCGGACCATGGAAGATACATTTTCGTTCGAAGGGGAAGTTCTAAGAAGCTTCAAGAAGTAAAACTTCATGTCAATCGTTTCAGGCAAACCGTAATTCCATTTGAGCTTCGCAAAAGTTAAATTCTAACATTTTTCTTACGAACGAAAGCCACATTACAGGCTTAAGAGATAGACAACATTGTTGAAAAGAACTCCCTTTATGTTAACCTACTTAATTTAACTGTAATCATTATTAATAATATAAATTAAATACACAAAGTGAAATACTTCATTGTTGCAGTTCAATTTTTACTTTGTAAATATTTAAATGTAAATGAATTCATCAACTGAAATAAATGTAAATAAATTAGTGAACTCAATTTAAATTCAAATTTCTCCTGACACAGTTAAATCGCAATTAATTGTTACTAATAACAACCGATAATAAAATGAGAAATTAATTCTTCGAAGCGTTAAAATTGCTCCTTGATATGCATGTAATTACAATGTAAAAAAAAACGAGATTTTGTGTACATGCATATATACATAGATAAAGGTGACACGACATGGTAATCGATTGACCTGTTGCAAATTTAAAATTGTGAACTTTTTTTAAACAAATAATTTAGGTAAAAGATAAATTTAACACATTCAAAAATCTGTTATTTGCTGATGTTTCGCATGAGCAGTTTTCTATTTTAATCAACAATGTTGGTTCTAAAGGCTGTTGAAGAAAATTTATCACATTGTTCGCGACTTTAGCAAGGCCGCTATCAGCTCATCGCCGGAGCTCATTTTAAGCCTCAGTTTTCGGACGAATTTTTGGATACTTTCCTTGCTACATTAGCAAAATCGCCTATGGTGACGAACCCAATTGATTACTATACCAAATTACTGAAATCCAGGGTAAGTTTAATCAAAATAAAACAAGCAAAATATAAACAAACCTTTTGACAACATTTACATTTTAGCAACTTAATTAAATAAAAAAAAAAATTTAATTCGCAGCCCTAGCAACTACATCGTATTTTTAGGCCTTACACTTACTCTGGATTTTAGTTTTAATTTTTCAGTTCAGTTTTTTAAATAAAAATTATAAAAATTTATTCAAAATTTTAAGGATTTTTTAAATATTAACAAAATCATGTTTAAGAGTCCCATAACGCGCCAATTCCCTTTTCCTTTTTGGCCTTAATTTCGTTAACCCATCGACTGCTTAACGGCGGACGTTATTTTAATTGTTTTTAATTAGTATTCCAAATTATTTATTTTCTAAAACCCCTTCTACTGGATGAATATTTTTCTGTAAACCATTAATTTGAATAAAATTAAAATAGTTTGTGAACCTATTTATCGAAAAAAAGTGCTTTATTGTTTAAGCTTAGGCCCGCTCCATAGCCGGCACCCCTTTACTTCCCCCAAGCCCTTAGAGACCGAACAAGCCGATTTAAAAAAGGATCCAGCTAATTGAGCAAGTGATACCCTCGCTGCTCGTTGCTGAAAGGCGGCCACCAGGTACTGGCAGCGAGAAAAGCAACTCTCAAGGCAGCCGTTTCTACGTACCGGACAAGGGCCCAACGGACTATTTCGGCTGCGTGTGTCATAAAAGACTCCACCACTCCTCCACCTCGCTTAGGTGCAACCAGAGCAATGGTTGGAGTCACCTTAAGACCTGCTCAGGCCTTAAGACTCACAGGAAGTGGATCACTAATTATGTGGCCCCATGTTGCCAGCGAACAAGCGCCCTCCAGTCTCCACGGCAGTGCTTTCAGCACCTTTACCCACTTTTGGTAGCCAACAGACCTCTATGGTCTCACAGAGCTCCCCGCAGCATGACTCCCACCAGCACCCACCCCATCTCCCTCCCGCTACCTCCCGAGCGAGGGCTACCCAGCAGCTTCTAGTCCCCCGCACAGTCTGTTCTGTGTGGCAGACCATAGTGCATCAGAGCATGGCCTCAGTCAGAATCAGCTCCTGCTCTGGCTGGTGCCATTTTCGGACGTGCTCTGGTCTGCGCATCACTCGCGAGTGGAGCGATGCGTGTGTTGCTTCTAGTCCCCCGCACAGTCTGTTCTGTGTGTCAGACCATAGCCTCAGTCAGAATCAGCTCCTGCTCTGGCTGGTGCCATTTTCGGACGTGCTCTGGTCTGCGCATCACTCGCGAGTGGAGCGATGCGTGTGTTGCCCCGTGCTGTAGGAGTCTGCCCCCGCCTATTTCGAAAAACATACCGCCAATTAACACCAATGTACGGAATCAACCACAGCGGGTATTACAGAAGCAACACATTCCATCCACGCATCACTCCCTCACCCCCCGTATCGCGAAAGTTCCCCCGAGACAGACCCCACTCTTACAATTCAACTGCCACGGACTCCAGTGGAAGATAGACGAGATAGTCAACTATATGAGCCGGGAGCACCTGTCAATTGCTGAGATCTTCTGAGTCAGGCCGGATACAACATAATCCGCAAGGATCGCGAGCGAGACCATGGTGGGGGCTTAGCCTTCACCCTGAACAACAAAGTGGAGTATCTTCTTATCGACAGCGAAGAATTGGCATTCTAGCCTATCAAATGACCTTAGAGGAATGGAGCTGGCAGAACAGATAGACAATTCGACATGCTGCACAATGAACGATAACACCCCACCAGAGTTATGGGTAATTGCCAAAGCTCGCCGGATATAATAATTGCGAGTGCTGGTCGGATAAATAGTATAATCTGGCGACCTGTGCTGACACTAGCATCGGACCACTTACAGAAGCGGCCGTATTAACATCCAGGACACCCTCCGAAGCTCCGAAGCCGTGATCCCCTAATCATGGATTTAAATGCGGAGATTCGCAGAGTAACTAACAACTAAACGCGGAAAAAGTGGATATAACTTAAGGACCTGTAAACTCTCCTCTGGGGCAACCAAGCTCTGGGCTACAGTCAAGTCGTTGTTTAACCCAACGGGACGCAATGACCGGGTGGAAATTTCATTCGGTGATCGCGCCTCGTCGAACCCGAAGAGATGCGCGAGCTATTTTACACTGCATTCTTTGGTAAACAAAGCGAAGCGACGTATGCGCAAACTGCCAAACACCAGCGCGGCGCTTGATTTATCGAGGAATGAGGTCCAGGGGGTCATTGGCAAGGCGAAAGCATCCACATCCATCGTCCCCGACGGAATAAGCCTGCTGAGGTTCAAACATCTCGGACCAGCAGGAAAAAAATTTCTCACCAAAGTCCTGCACTTGTATTTGACCACCCTAATAATACCTGACGTGTGGCAAATGGGCCGGGTGGTCCCACTACTCAAACTGGTGAGACCAGCCAACAAAGGTAAGTCTTATCGGCCGATAACTCTCCTCTCCCCAGTAACGAAGACACTTGAGGCCTTACTGCTCTCGAACTTTATGTACCATCTGCGTCCAGCAGCACATCAGCATGGCTTTCGAAAAGTGCACAGCACCAAACAGCATTTAAAGCCATAAACACTAAGATAGTCAATGGCCTTAACCAAAACCGACCCTGCGCGCGGAATGTCCTGGTAGCACTGAATCTGTCAAAACTTTTGACACCATCAACCATTCAGTTCTACTAACGGACATTGAGCAACCCTCTTTTCCGCCGGGGTTGCAGAGGTGAGTCATGGGCTACCTGAGTGGTCGACAACCGTCGGTAATATTCTGAGGTGAAACATCGAAGATGAGGAAAACTAAACCAGGGACTCCGCAGGATTGACTCCTCTCTCCAGTATTGTTAAATTTCTATCTTTCGAAATTCCCTCCTCCACCACAAGGAGTTTCCCTAATCTCGTATGCCGATGATTGCACGATAATGGCATCTGGCCAGGATATTGAGGACCTCTGTTCAAAAGTGAACTGCTACCTTGCCGATCTTTCTCACTTCTTCACTGCACGACAACTGAAAATACAACCGACTAAATCCTCGGCTACCCTCTTCACCAGCTGGTCGAAGGAATACAGGCTTGAGCTAGATGTGAAGGTCGATAACACTAAAATTCCGACTGTAAATAACCCAAAGATTTTGGAAGTAACACTAGATAGTCTGCACTCTTTCACTCCGCATACGACAGCGATTGCCGCAAAACTCCAAAGCCGCAACAAAATACTCAAAGTGCTTGCCGGCAGCACCTAGTGTAAATACAAAGAAACTTTACTGGCAACTTATAAAACAAATGGCCATACGGTTGTAAACTATGCTGTACCAATCTGGGCACCGGGGACGAACGAGACACTGCCCTCAGGACTGCGACAGGAGACCTCCAGATGTCGTCGAAGCATTACTTGGGCGAAGCATCTATGCTACGAGTTGAGGGGCATAATACTTTGATGTGCAAGCAGCTACTACTGGGATGCTACCGCAGGGACAGGCACTGAGCGCCATTCAAAGACTTCCGTCAGTGAATGGCGGGTTGGGAGTAAAACCACCATCCATTGCAGACAACGAGCTCGAGCTGCCTCGACTTAGGTTTGGATACTGTAGCAGGTTAAACTCCTATTTATTCAGACTCCACCACAGCATATCCAACACATGTGGAGAGTCTCCGCACGACACTAACCACCTCTTCCCTTTGGTCCAATCCCGTCGAAAAAACTCGTTTCCTGGACCTCCCACTAGATGACCTCAGCGACTTATATTAACCCAACCTGTACCTAAGCGGGGATAGAGCAACAACAACAACAGAAAACTAACTAACATAAGGAAAACACCGCGAGTGGCTCCAAAACGCACATATCTTCAAAACCTTCCCAGACGGAGTCGCTGTGATAACCTTCAGACGGTTAGCTGTCAATAAGTAGTGATGGAACTGCGCAAGGTTTATAGGGCAGAAGCAGAGTTTGGGAGATTTCTTATCAACGATGCTTCCTTCCCAGCACACAGAAACTAGGTGGAGTAATAAGCTATGGCTTCTGCTACATCACAACGAAGGTCCACAGGTCCGCATTACTCTTTAAGATAGAAATCTAGCAAAGTTTAAATTTTTTCAGCAGTCTTAAATTATTCTCTACTAATATCGATAATGATATAAAAGCTTTATATACATATACATATGTACATACAGTGATGAACTTAGACCTTGCTGGCAACTCATAAAGTAATTGGCCGGCCGGTCATAAACTATGCTGCACCGATCTGGGACCAACGAGACGCAGATAAAGAAGCTACAGATTTGCCAGAACACTACCCACAGGACTGCGACAGAAAACCTCCTGATGTCGCC